CTCTGAGATTTCCATAGACATAGACACATCTAGTCTTTTCCCTGTAATCACATTAAAGACATGGGGTGAATCAAGGGACAAATTATATCAGTCATCTTAGACAAATGCTTCTCTAGCAGGCTGCTCAGCACGCAGGCAGGGAAGTGTTACCATTACCAATTCTGGAAGCATATAGGAATAATATCAGTCACTCACAGCTGGATAAAAGCCAAATTTTGGCTCATTCCTCAGTTAATAAAGCAGAGCTACATACTGACCAGGCTAATACCAGTCACTCAATCTGGCTTGCAATTCAAGGCATAGAGTCTGACCCTGGATGGTGCTGAGAGCACCTCTGAAGGCAGTGGGAGTGGCAAGCATGCAAGAAACTAACCTCAATAAAAGGAGGAAGAAATCTGTGTATGATGGATTATTGGAGTGGGTAATAATACTATTTGGTTTTGGAAGCACCGACACTGTGCTGCCAGCTGTCCATGCAGAAAGGAAAGCATGGTCTCTGCTCTAAGGATCTCACAATCTAGAGAGTGAGAGACAAACAGGCAGAAGGTTCAGGAGAAAGGGGTGCAACACCTAAGCAGAGTAATTAAGGACCTCAGCCAACATCTTGACAAAGATAGGCTATGTTCTTTTTTTTTATGTAGTCAGTATGAGTTGGCTGAATTCTCCGTAGGTAGCACAGCAGAAGTGGACGTCAGTGGATGGCCTTAGTAAAAGACTGCAGTATATAAGAAGTACAAATTCAGGGCTAGACAAATCTGCTGAAATCAAGGTTCATAAATCTCTTGAGTAATATTTTAGTCCTTCAACATTACCCCCTCCCCCTCCAATCCTGCCTTTGTTTTCTCCCTCACCTAGGGACATTCAATTTAAAAGAAGCTTAACACTAAAACGGAAAAGCGAATCAAGGATGACTGGCTGGTTAACATTATCCTAAGTGCTATTACTGGGGAGTGGACCAGTGACATGTCATTAGCATCAGCAGTTTAAAAGTCTAATTTTTAACTCAAAACAATACACTGCAACTCCCTGCCAAAATCAGTAAGTTCCACACTACAAACATATATGATGGGTCAAATGTGAAGATTTCTCTCTCTCTCTCTCTCTCTCTCTCTCTCTCTTTATCCCCCCCTTACACTTGGGGGTGAGTAATCTGTCACAATGAAGGCAAAGCCAAGGCCAGGGATGGGCAGCAATGCCACAAGGTACAAGAACACTCTCACAGTTGAGAGGCAGCATGGTCGAGTGGCACTGGCCTGTAAATGAGGGCACTGGGGTTCTATTTCTATCTTCCCCATACCTTTTGCACTCTATGCCTGTTTCCTTCCTGATATCTGCTTGGTCTGTTTGTGAGCTCTTTGAGATGCTTCGTTTGAGTTTGTGCAGTGTCTCTTTTTGTTGGGGCGCATTTGTTGGGACTATAATATACATAATTAAAATCATAAAATAATGGTAAAATAAATGTTTTCTGTAACCCCCTAATAGTCAACATTTCTCTATTTTAGGCATTCCCTAGTTCCAAAGCCAATTTTTCATTAATTGCTGTGTGTATATATAAAGCTCAGTTATAAACTGAAGTCTAGTATGCCACAAGATGGCGCTATTGCATGTTAAATATCTATATAATTTGGACATTACTTCAATATAGGGCAATGCCAGATGAAGCATCTTGTGGGTGAGACCTGTGCCTGGAAAAACATTCTGCTCAGGCAAACTCTTAAATCTCGTTTGTGTAGATAAAGAAACCAACTCTTGGCATTTTCAGCCTGCTCAGAGCAAGATATGAAAATAATGACATCTTGTTTTGCGACGACATCTGAATGTTTTGGCATGACAATTAGCATTTCAAAGGCCAAGGATATGTAACAACATGAGCTAAGCAAACAGCATCTTGAACTAGCTATCAGGATTAATGGTGCACCACTAAATGAACTGACATTTACCTACTTGAAAGTGTCCTCATGGCCAACAATGCTTAATAGATGAGGATGTGAAGTCAATATTATCTCAAAAGTTAGCTCTGCATGTGGTTGTCTGCATGATCCCGGAGAGAAGAGAGTGGAGTGAAATAGAATTTTCACAAAGATCAAAATGGACAGACTGCTGTATGGTGCAGAGATATAGGCATGGAATCACTTTAACAACTGATTTGAGTTAAACTAGTGCATCCTCTGTGTAGATAAAGCCTAAAATTATAGCTGAAAAGGATTACTGGAAAAAAAATGTGACCTGGTGTGACAGGGTATACCAGCCCTGCATTGGGGAAGCAAGACCTAACCAGGCTCACCTGGTTGAAAAGGTCCCACCCCCCACAGGCCTGCTGGGAAAGCTCAGACTACAACCAGGTATAAAGACCTGGAGAAAGGCTCAGTCTGGGCTGGCTGCTGAGGAGGAAGGAGGCACTGTTAGAGCTCCTGGAGGTGAACAGCTGGAGGGACCAGCCAGCAAGATACCAGCGCCACTGCAGAACAGCTGGAGGAAGGACCCTGGAAGGAGTCTAGCAGAGACGGGTAGGAAGTAAACCAGGGTAGGAGATTTTATCCCGAAGAGCTCAGCATGTTGTGGTAGGAGTCCCCATTGAGCTAGCGGAGGAAATCCCCGCTGAGCTAGCAGGGACCTGGGCTGGGACCCGGTGTAGTAGGAAGGGCCCAGGTCCCCCTAACCCACCCTTTATACCCAACCCGTGAGGCCAGCACCCTCTGCTATTCACTCTGGCTATTAGGCCACGCTGCCCCAGTGTGTGGGATGGTTAATGTTGACTTTGGCTGCTAGGCCGCAGTTCCCCAGTGAGAGGGGTTTTTCACTATTGACTCCAACTGGTAGGTTGCATAGCCCCAAGGAGAGGGCCTGGTGTATAGGACAGGAGAGGAATTGTTGAATGTGCCAGGTTGTGATGTAATTTTACAAGACCTTGGGACTTGACTACACCCCCTCGAGGGAGGTGAGTGCCTCACCCCATGACACCTGGGTCTTTTGGTTTGTTTACTTTGTGTATTTGATAGTACTTTGTATATAGTCAGCTTCACTGACCTGCTGTCAGTTTCCCCAGGTGGGTCTTTCACAAGGGAGAGGAAAACATTTTAGAAAACAGGAATCTGTGTGGGTATAACCATAGAAGTTTGCAATGAGATTCATGGGTGTATGTTTATATCTGACGCTATTTTAGGAATGGGCCCAGAGAGTCCTTCATTGGCACAGTACCACATAGTACTGGTGGAGCCATTCGTAGCACAAAAAGAAGAAATGTTAGGCTCTTCAGGGCATAGGCTGCCACTTCCTGTTTGTTGGCACAGCACCTGGCATGATGAGGGAGGCCTCTAAGCAATGTTGCAACATAAATGTTACATAACAAGTGTTTCAGAAAAGGGGAGTGAAGATGGGAATTCTAAATAGAGGGGTGATATCAGTGAGAAAACAAACCTAATATGGAAAGATTAGCAAAGAGAACAGATAGGCTCTCAAGAGCGTGACAATGAAGTGAGCTGTAAGGAGAATAAGTGGATTGGAAGTGGTACACATATTGGGCCAAATTCACCATTAACTTATCTGTAATCTAAGGGCAATCGTGTAACTTGACATTGAAAAATTATTGCGGTAGACTCTTTATGTATGCTCTTCACATTTGTCTGATATACACTACAAACACTGTGATGTAGAAAGCATGTTATAGCAAATTTCCTTTTTAAAATCACGCTTTCTGAAATAAAGCTACCAATTTAATGATTTAGACTTCATAGTAGAATTCTTAGATGCAGAAATCAAAAGGACATTTTTTAAGTTCAAGATAGTATTTTTTCCCTCCGGGAAATTCAAAACTCAAACTCAACTCTTAAATCCATGGACGAAATTCTCCTCTTCTAGCTGAACTGTGGCTCTCCTCTCTGCAATATGACTCTCTACTAATTAATTTGCATTCATTTTACTTACGCAACTCCCACTGGCAAAACCAATCATAATGGAGAACTTAGTAGCACACCTGTCCTTGCTACTTATTCCATGCTAATCTCTGCCAGAGAATTTTTGCCTCTTGCCCCGTTGTCCCATGATTTATGGGGATTGCTCTGACTATGCATCCTTGTGACAGAGAGCTCTGCTGATATGTGTATGGTCCTTCATACCCTTGCTACTACTCCCATAGACTATGCTTCAATAATATTTGTTTGCGGGTTTGCGTCCTAGGTAGATAACAATGACAGTGACCATGTGAAATAGGTCTGTATTGCTACTTGGAACACCAGGTCAGGTGGGAACAGCTGCAGCAGGTGAGAAGTGGTTGACACAGGCATTATGCTTGAGTACCTTAGGAAAAATTCCATTTGAAAACTTACAGTTTGCTCCTACTAGTTCTAGTGCGACAAACAAGTTTTGGAAAGGAGCAATGGGCTTTGGGTGCTATCATCATTCCTGGAGCTGGCTTTCCAGTTTAAACCAACAGTGCCCAGCCCAAACCAGCAGAAAACAACAGAAGGATTCAGATGGAGCCTATGGAATTTCCACCCAAGTTAAGCAGTGGCACTAGAGAAGCACCATTAGAAACTGCATGTGCTCTACCTCTACTAAAGCTATAGTGTGCCCTCACCTCAGAGCTGCCCTCCCAGCACTAGCAGATTGCATGGGGGCAGGGAAGGATTCAGTGAGCCCTTTCTTGCCATCCTCCTAAGGCAGCTGCTCTGGGCTAGTTTTAATTTGGTCAGAAATATTGAAAAGTAAACTATTTGTGCACTGAGAGCGTGCCTGATGAGCAACATCTGGTTTGTTAACTTGCTGCAATTAAAGTTCAGGCCTCTGTGTTTGCTTTTGTATATTACAACCATTGTATGACGCTTTCTTGTATGTGGGACACACTTTCAAGATAAATGCTACCAATCAGGAGTAAGGACAGATTTAATAAAGACAGGTACTTATCCCGCTGTGTTATTAATGAAATGGGTAGGCCTCAGCTGCTCTCCTGGTTGTCATAGAAACAGCCTGAGCTGTTGGCCTCTAGAAAACATAAAAGAACAGCAAGTGCAAGACCACACATTCCACTCTGCCTTGTAGATTAACCAGTCTGTCAAATGAGAGCAAAGCATCAGTGGGTAGATAAGGTCTGTAAAGTGGACAGCCACACAGTAAAGAGCTTCACAGACTAAACCTAGAAACGTAAGTACTTGTCTCTGTTTCGTCTTTTTTTTTTTAAGTGCATGGCTGTGATTAAAGGAGCAGCATTTAATATCTTGTGCATTTTTGCCACAGGCAGTTTCTCTTATAGCACAATTATTTCCCTGCCATTAACTTTCTCTTCAGACTGAAAGCTGGTATTTCAAATACGTTTTGTTTTCACAGTAAATTGATAGCAAACTCGACAGGAGACCTGTCTTCTATGTGCGTGGAGAATTAACTGTAGATTTTTGGCTCACTAAAGATAGTAAAATAAACAATTAATAAATCTATAAGTAATTATGCTAAGGAATGATTTTGCTATGGAAATAGTTGGGCTAAACCTACAAACACTTTCTTTACACAAGTAGTTCCATTAAAGTAAAAAAAAATATTTGTGTGAGTAATATTAGACTAGAAGAATAAGGATTGGGTCCACCATGTATAATTTTCTACGGCTATAACTGCCTTTTGAAAGGGCGTGAAAGAGGAGGATAAGGAACACAGCACCGATGAAGTGTGTTCCTTGATTTAACTTGTAAAAGAATCATTTAGTGATATATTATGAAATAAATGAGAGAAACATTCTGTTGCTATTTGGCTCTGACATCCAAGCATCAATGACAAAAATGTATGAATAGGAATGATAATGCAATATTGAAAACATGATTTGAACAATACATTGTTTTACTCTATAACTTCACTGTCAGTTTAACCAAAGATCATTACTGTTTTTCATCTTTTTCTTTTTAATACAGGATTTGACACACAGAAAAATAATAAACACTTACTATATATATATATATATATAGCAACACCATTATTTTTCCAGTCTTGGAAAATGTTTCCCACTTAATTTAACCTTTGTGCAGGACATATCAGAAAAGGCAAAAAAAAAAAAAATTAACTGCATGCAAGCTTCTTGTCCTAGGGCCTGATCCTGCTTACACATAGAAGTTGTGTGGGGGAAAAAAAAAGACGGATTTTTTTGTTGCTGTAATAAAATGACTATACTGTTTAAAAGCTAGAATTAGCCCAATAAATTCTATAGTCAAGATCTTCATAAAACCCAGTAAAAATGAAAGAAATTATCAAAAGTAACTAGTAATTTTGATATTTCAACTCTTAGGTTATGCCTACACAGCAGGCCTAAAGTCAAATTAAGCTATGCAACTTCAGCTATGTCAATTGCGTAGTTAAATCAAAATAGCTTAATTCGGCTTTTGGTGCTGTCTACACAGGAGGAAGTCGAAGGAATAGCACTCTTCATTCAACTTTCCTTACTCCTCATGAAGTGAGGGTTACCAGGAGTCAGAGTAAGACGTCCTCCAGCTCAACATTATTTTGAAATAAAGGCTTTTAGTGTACTCGTGCACTATGTTATTTCAGAATAACACTGCTGTGTAGACATATCCACAGTTGCCCAACCTGAGCAGTCTTTCCTCTGATTTTTTTCATCCATGTGCAGAATAATTTTTGTATTGTGCACCAAGGCATATACAGATGTACACCACCAGTAGAAACTCATGCAGACAGCTGTGGGTATTCTGCTAATCAGCTTGGTGGCATTTGACTCTCTCAGGGAACACTGAACCTGAGACACCTTAAAGAGCCTTGATTTTCAAAAAGTGTGGAAGCACCTGCCATCAGAAGATCAACCCTCCCTTATTTTTTTCACCAACCACATTACCCACATATGTAAAGTTATTCATACATTTCTATACAGGATGATGTAAAATGTGTCAAATGCAAAATGAAATAAGATGTTTTAGACTGGGTACCCAAAATCACTATTGTAGTCACTTTTGAAAATTTCGGCTATTATGCACTTGGTTAATCAAGCATTTGATTATCAATTCATTGTGTTTACTAAACAAAATTCTTCAGTGGAAAACTGCACATGCATGCACTCACACAGATACACACGTTCACTTATCTATACATTTTTTTTCTTTTTCTATATATAAAAAAAAACTTTTCCTGTGGGATGACAGAGTGATATCATGATATTACTCTGAGTCCCCAAGAGCCCTGACCGCACGACTGATCCGTGAAATTGGGGGGTGAGGGGCTCCAGCCCCATGTGCCCCCTCAACCAGTGTCCACCAGCCTCTGGGCCCTGCCCCCAGCCTGCCTGGCCCACATGCCTGCCGTGCAGTTTTGCTCTATGCAGCCCAGCCAGCCACAGCGCTTGGGGGACCACACTGCAGGTCTCTCACTGGGTGAGCAGCCCCAGCGTGTGCCGGTGACCTGGGCCAGGCAGCTGATCCAGGTGCACCCCCTGGAGCAGTGTCCACCTGCTTCTGGGCCCTGCTCCCAGCCTGCCTGGCTCACGCAGTGCTGTGCGGCTTTGCTCTGTGCAGCCCAGCCCAATCACAGTGCTTGGGGGCTGCGCTCTCCCAGGCCTGCCACGAGCGGGGCAGGTCTTGTACCCCAGCCACTTCGCCAGCTCTCCAGAGCAGCCGCTCAGTGTGCCGGGTTCCCTGGACTCGCCACAGAGCAAAACTGCCCCAATAGGCCCACTTGGAAAGGCTGGGCTGGGGATGGGCTGTGGCTCATGCTGCAGTGGCCAGGGCTGTGCTGCCTGGCCTGGTGGTGCTCCTGGAGGGGACAGGCGCACAGCTCAATGAATTCGTGGGAGGGGGCAGGGTGTGTGTAGGGAGGGAGTAAGGGGGGTAGGGATAGTGGATAAGGGGGGATAGTAGGGGTGAGAGGGATGTAGAAATGGAGGCAGAGGGAGTGGCAGTGTGGGGGTGAAGAGAGGTTAGGGAAGGATGGGGGTACAGCAATTCAGGAATGAGTTGGGATAGGGTTAGGTCGTGTGGGGTGGGAAGGGAGAGGGGTTAGGGAGGATGGTGAGTGCAGGAATGGAGGCAGGGGGATCAAACTGAAGTACAGGTTGCGGAGGGGGCGGGGAGCAGAGCCAGGGTTGGCCTGGCCTTGGCCTGGCAGCTGAGGGGAGAGCCAGGACTGCCTGCCCCCAGAGAGAGGGGGTTGGTGAGCATAATGAGCAGGGGGCACAGCCACTAGTAATACTTCATTCTTTAAAATCACTGGAAACACAGAATCCTTAAACTATTGATTTTGTATACATGCGCTATATATTTGCCAGTATTACCAATATTAAAGTACATCCTACTTGAAAGGTGTTCTCTTCTGAAGACTGAACAAAATGTTTTCATAGAAGAGGCAAGTAAGACAAACATAGGCTGCCCAGGGATAGGGATGGAGCTGGCTCCCGCCTTTGGAAAGCAGAATAAGGGACACCCTGAAGGTAGGGTGGGTTCTGGAGTGGCTTCCATCCACACATATCCAAGTGGGACTATCTGCAGATCTATTGGGGAAGCTAAATCTGCCTATATTGTGGTAGGTTTATACAGTCTTTAAGGAAAACTGTGGAATACAACTGTGCCTGAACTCTCCAGAGATGTATGAAGGAGAAAGCCCCTGTACTCTCCTCACTTTGTGCACTGATGCAGACTGGGAGCAGTCGTGTTCTAATCAGCTGAAGCTCTCCACACCTCTGTGAGGTTGGTAAATATTATCATCCCTGCTAATAGGTGATAATGCTTCCTTGTTACCCTTTGTTTTTATGTTAATTTGTGTCACTTAATTTTAAATATCCTAACTCTGAAAATAATTTGTTCCATATCTTTAAAAATAAATCTAGTGGGAGTGACGGACTGCTATATCATCACATGGAATGAAGTGTAACAGTTAATTCAAACTAAGGACTTAGTTCGAATTACCGTTTCACTGCTGCATGTAGCCACAGGCAGTTACTTCAGGCTAGTGGAATTTCAAAATGGCGACCGGATGGGAACATGCAAATAAAGCCCGGGATATTTAAATCCCGGGCTTCATTTGCAACTTCGAATGCCTACATTAGCCTCCCTAGTTCGAACTAGGGGGCTTGTGTAGACATACCCTAGCAGAGTCAGTGACTAAACCAGTGGCATTCACTAGTTTGCTTTTTTTAAGAATGATCAATTGAATCCTTCACGTGCCCACACCTCAACAAGAACAACCATTTAATGGTATCTAAGGGTATGTCTACACTACAAAGTTAGTTCGAACTAACGGACGTTAGTTCGAACTAACTTTCCTAGGCGCTACACTAGCGCTCCGCTAGTTCGAATTTGAATCGAACTAGCGGAGCGCTTAGTTCGAACTAGGTAAACCTCATTTTACGAGGACTAACGCCTAGTTCGAACTAGCTAGTTCGAACTAGGCGTTAGTCCTCGTAAAATGAGGTTTACCTAGTTCGAACTAAGCGCTCCGCTAGTTCGATTCAAATTCGAACTAGCGGAGCGCTAGTGTAGCACCTATTAAAGTTAGTGCGAACTAACGTCCGTTAGTTCGAACTAACTTTCTAGTGTAGACATACCCAGAGAGACACTCTGGCCAACACCAGGGAAACTCTATGCCCCCCTCCCGGCCCCGGACCCCTTAAAGGGGCACGGGCTGGCTACGGTGCCCGTGCCAGGTGCAAGCCTGCCAGC